ACATCCCAAATGTCTAGGAGAATTGCACTCTGTATCCAACAGAATGGACTACATTTTGAGCAACTATTGTGACTGTTTTTGTTTTTGAATTTTGGTTTTGTTATTAGCTTTATTATTTGTAGAATGTGTACAACCATAATTCGTTCTTCATTAGTCTTGTTTGTTGGTTGTACTTAATCATGTTTAATAAAAAATTGTAACCCATTTTGTAATTAAATATAATTATTGTATTATGTTTCAAATAATATTTAAAATTTCACATTTTAAGCATTTTTTGTTTTCCAATTAATATTTAATTAGCTATCTTGTTTTAATCAAGTAAGAAACGGTATCATCAGAAGCTACATAGCTGATGATATTTTCATAGACGAAACATAGTAAAATGGTAAAGTGTAACGTATCGTTGTATTTAACTATACAAATGCTATACAAAATTACAGTTAGAAATCCAGGTCCGTATTTAAAAAATAAGTTGAAGGTGGCCCTGCAAATACGAAACGTCGTAATAAAAATTTTGACATGGCAGATTAGAGGGAACTTGATTTATAACAAAAACTTCCTATAATTTTTTTTTGTATCTTTTATAATAACGACGCACGACTTAAAAAACGAAAATGAGGTTTTTTCGGAACCAGTCAGAAAATCTGGAACTTCTATGGACCATTGTATTATCCGTCAAAATACCAAACTTTTTCCCATTTAACCGACAATGTATATTTTACGGTTTACGAGATCTCTGTATACGCAAATTAAATCCGGTCCACCCTGTATAATATATATTAGTTAAATGATTGTAGGATTACGAAGTCTTTTTAAACAAACTTTATTTTTGAAAAATAAACAGTGTTTTTGAGCTCTATTGTTCTACAAAGCTAAATATGAACTGAATTATAATAAAATAAAAATAATAATGTAAAAATGCAAATTCGCAGAATTGCACTCGCATTTTATTGTTAAGGTAAATCAAGCAAAATAAGCAGAACGGTATTTCTCGTATGTACAATGTATTTCTGGGAATATAACTTGTTTTCTCAATTGCTGTTAGCCTAGCTCAAAGAGTGTTATAGATTTTATATTTATGAAATTCGGCTTAGACTTTAACTAACAAGTTAATGGCACTATCTTTATTTAAAAAGACAAAGGAAAAGTTGTACGCCATGTATTTAAGTATTTAATAAATACTTTCTATGCCATTAGCTTGTCAGCTGAAAGTGTAACCTACCAAAAGTTATAAGCAACTTCCAGAGGAGAATTGCTTAAAATTAAACTTTTATATGAAAAAAATAACTTTATCAATAATATTTTGTCTACTATGGTTACAGAAGTTTTGGTTGTTCCGGTGTCAACCTTCGGGCCTTCGACGTCGCTCAGACGACAGCTAGGGGGTGGATAACTATTAAAAATTCCGGAAATAGTAGACAAATGAAGGGCGCCAACTAGGTCTATATAGTGGCCAAGCTATGTTCCTATTTCCCCACAAATCCAGTAAATTAGGAAAGAAATAAAAGACAAACCTCAACTCAATCTCAACTACTCTCAACTTATGTTCCTTTATAATAAATTTATCAATTATTCCAATTATTATTTACAATTTTACAAAATTACATTACAAATCTGTTTGCCAAAAGAAGAAAAAACAACAAACTCAAAAGTTAAAGTTCAAGAACTAATTCTAAAAAAAAGACATACAATATTTAAATTTTTCTTTTTTTTTTTTTAAGGTGAAGGGGGGAGAAAAAGTCCTTTATATCTCACAATTTATTAATTATTCAACAAAACATTGAGTGCGACCGGTTTCGAAGTAACATCACTTCATCTTCAGGCTCGCCTAGTGGAAAGGAGAATATGTGGTGTAAGGTGTGTTGACTTTGAGCCCACAATATATAAAATAGTAAAAAATAGAAAAACTCACCATACTCTCCATCCACTAGGGAATACTACAGACAAGTTTCATCAAAACGTAGGGGATGAAATAAATTGTAAAACAAAACAATGTTACAAGTTATAAAAGTTAAAAATATTTGAAAAACAAATATTAGTCGATATAAACAGTTAAAAATTTTAAAATATTCAAGACTATACAAAAACAAATTACATACATTAAACAGATTAAAAGATAAGGCCTATTTTAAGCAACATTGCTGTTTTTTATAAAAATCTAACATTTTTGAAAGGAGACCTGTCAAGTTAAGGCCTCTACAAGTGGTGGTAAGTACTAAAGAAAAATTCTTGGATAAACTTATGACAGGGTATAGGTAATAAGATGTAAACTATGAGTGAAGAAATATTTATTATATAAGATTTGGGCCATGAACCAATCACCAAGTGTATGTGATGTTGTAGGATAAAATAAGAAAGAAGAAGAAATGACTGGGTTAACTGTTGTGAAGCAACTGAAAAATAAAAGAAGAAGAAAAGAAGAAAATGACAGATGTGAAAACACACAACTTAACCTAGTCCTTAAACATGGACGTTGGTTTTTTGTGGGAAGAAATTACTTACTGAAATGTACCCCTTGCAAGGAAATATGTGAATAGAAATAAAGGGGGAGGTTAAAAAGGAAGTTAGAACGATAAATTTAGATTAGTGTTGAGAAAACTGGAGGAGTTTCTGACATTATCTGGGCATTTAAGCAACCAACAGGATTTAATTTTAAATTTCTCAATATCTCGAGGCTTTCGAAGCTATTAAGAGTAAATCTATGGTAGGAACTATGTAGGATTTCGAAACCTTCAGTTGAATCGAAGTCGTGATTTGAGTCCAGTAGGTGGTTGGCAAAATGTGAAAATCCTGTTGTATTTTGGTTAAGACAACGCAAATGTTCTTTTAAACGGATCTTGAAATTTCGAAACAACCTTGTAAATAATTTACCTTATGGCTTTTGCATGAACCCAAAAGAAAAGAAATTCATCAACAGATGACACTGACGGTCGTTTGATTGGTACCAGGCGAAGAACGTTTGCGCAAGATAGTATGCAAATATAATGAAATTTTAATTTCTACCTTTTACAATTATGAAATCAAAAATATAAATAATCATGTGCATATCCGCACCTAAATCTAAACATCAACGTTTAATGTTGAAACACAATAAACCTTTAACACCCAAATTGGAAGAAGTTACCTGCTTAACTTATAGTTAAGACTAAACTATTTATTAATTAAATATAAATCATAAAACAAAATAAAATGGAAATGTAATAAATACATATAAGGACTTTAGACACAGAGATTATTTACTGAGACTCCCAAATTGGAAGAGGTTATTTACTTAATCTCCGCCCCTTTATGGGTCTTATGAGATTGAAATGTTAAAGGTAGCCCTTAGGTACCGAGGTTTTTAAGGTCAATACCCAGGCCGAAGCACTACGTGCCTAAATGACAAAATTTTGAAATGATTAATTATACTTGGCTACTACTTAGATCATTAAGTGCTTAATTAATTAAATTATAAAGTTCTATTTAGTAACACAGTAGTTAATAATAGAAAAACCCAGTAGAATATTTTGTGTACAAAAGTATAAATAATGTTGAGAATACCTTAGGAACATTCGATAAAGAATTGATGTTTAATTTAACAAATTAGCAGGCACAGTGCACGTATGAAATTTTCATTATAATATAAAAAACCTGATAGTAGGGTGTCTGCGTCGAGAGCATCACCGTCTTCCTATCCAGATAAAGAACCATTCATGTAAAAACAGCTATTAGTAAGCCAGGTGGCTAGTAAACCAATGGACCACAATTATACGGACCACTGTTCTAGTAAACCGATGAACTGTGTCCCCTCGGTTGAGTCTACGTTGAAACCGTTGATCTCCGGAGTGTAAGACCTTCCAGGTGAATCCATTTTCGTAAAAGGTTAAACTGGTAGCCTTCCAAGTGTAAAGAAAAACGAGGCAGCCCACAGCAACCACTATTGAAGAATCCATTTCAATATTACACACTCAAATGCTGATGGATCTTTAATTTTTATGTCTATAAATCCCTTTCACAGGTGTGGAATAGGTCAAAAAAAAACCATGGGAATTCAACTAAACACAATTCCCCAAAAATATCCATAAACCCGTTCTTCCACAATTAATCCTGGAGTAAAATTTAAAAGCCCCTTTAATAGGATAACTTGATGGTTATAGAAAATATAGATTTCACTCATTGGCAAAACTTGGAGTTGTCTGCCTTCTTCACCTGTCAACCAGCATCTAAACAACAAATATTTCCCGATGTCTTCCCTTCCATTTTGAAAAATGACAAGCCGAGTGGGTTTAGAAATTCATCTTTAAAAATTTACCAGTATATATGGCTCATGTATGTGAAAAGGGATATAAGTCAAAAACTAGTCAAAATGAGTTATTTGTACCAAGTGCACCAAAAAATTATCAGCAATGTATGGGAAAAGGGATATAACCAAAAAATGGTTATGATAGAGTAATAAGCCATTGCGTAAAATGATATAAGTAATTTCAAAACTTTTTGTTTTTGCGAAAAAAGTAATAAGTGCACCTACCATTTGAGTAGCTTTTATGTGAATAATAGAATAAGTATAGGTATATGGGTATATGTATACTTATGTAATAACATATTTTACATTACTTACGTGTAAAGAGAAACAAATAGACTTATACCTCTTTTCACAAAATTAACTACAAATTAAAAATAATATCTTCGAGAAAAGTGGAATATGTAAACTTATACCAATATACATATACTCAAGCCATATTTATTGACAAAATGTTAAGGTATAAGTGCACATATATCTCTTTCCCCTTCTTTACATTATGCTTTGTGCTTTAGTTGCAAAGACTATTTTAGTTGCCTTCATGCTGTCGAAGAGGAAGGCTGTTTTCTTCATTTAAAAAAAAACTTGCTTTAAGCGTGGCACATATTTTGTTTAAGTATCTATACATTTGTATCTAATTTAACGCATATTTTGTGTTATATTCAACAGATTTTTTAGCGATTTCTTGTTAATATTAAATAAATAGGAATTTGAGGTTAAGATGTCCCAACGTAGTAAACGTATCCTTAAATTAGTGCCACATGAAGTAGTTCAAGCAACTCCAATAACAAATACAAAAGCAGGTGAGTAAAAACAGTAAATTATTATACAATGTAAATTAGTTTTTGTGGAGGGCGCTTTTTTAGTAGTAAACATTTAAATTGGCTCAATGCCAATAGTTTTTTACTTATATCCCTTTTCACATACATGCAATTTTTAAACAATATTAATTCATTTTAAAGTGTGACGCATCAGAAAGATGAGTCAAATATTTGAGTTGATATGGTTTTATACAATTTCTCTATTTTTAGGAAGTCAAATAAAATCTCCTGATAAAAAAGAAACTCCCCATATACATGTTACTGCTGAAAGTTGTATAACCGAAAATGAGCAAGGAACCATTGAACAAAATACTAATACAAAGTTAGAAGCTTCCAACGGTAGCTAACACAGCCCATTTTTAAACTTTTGTTTATGGAAGAATTTATAGGTTTTTTTTATTGCAAATATATTTTTTTTTAGAGTTGGCGTTCAAAGTAGCTCATGTTAATGATTATCTAGAATCGAACAAAGAAAATATTTTGCCTTTCTCTGTAACAGAAACTCACGTTATTAAGGAAACTTACAGTGGTGGTTAGTAATATTTAGCAGTACATAATTAAAATTATTTTTCTTTATGATATTATTTTAAGATTTAAATTGCTCTCAGCAAGAAGACTTTCCAAATGATTTTCAGACAATAAAATTGCACAATAAGTGTTCTATACAACTTAAAGAATCATATCGGGTAACTTTACAAAACGATATTTTATTAGATGATGTGAGTTCAGAAGAAGCGTATAACCCAGAAGATGAATCTTTTAATTCTGAAGATACCAGTTCTACTGATGGCCCTTTATACAGCTCAAGGAAAAGAAAAAGGCTTTCCCACAAAGATTATATCAGTAATGCTATTAAAAAAAAAACAAAAAATAACATTACTGTTTCCACGAAAGGCTTAAAGGATATCAAAAAACAGAGAAAGCCAAAAAAACCCTTAAAAATGAAACACGAGCAGTAAGAGAAGAACGAAAGAATAACAGAAATCAAGGTTCGGAATATAAAACAAAAAATGGAAAATTAATACGAGCTAGGGTATGCAGACCATTGAACAAATGCAAATTAAATTGTCAAGACAAAATATGCCATGAAAAGAGGCAAACTATTTTTTCTGAATACTGGCAAATGAAAAGCTTTAATAAACGTGTTGCTTTTATTGCTGGTTTGATAAAAACAGAACCCAAAAAATGAGCAAAACGCAAAATAGAAAATATCATGAAACAAAAAAATAGATTGGTGACACATATATTTTATTTGCCTATTAATGGAGAACAACTAAGGGTTTGTAAGCAATGCTTTTTAAACATTTTTGATGAATCAAACCGATTTGTAACTAGTGTTTTAAAAAATAAGGCAGAATCTAGTTCTGGAGTCTGTCGTGATGACAAAAGGGGCCTGTCCTCTCCCGCAAACAAAATTCCTGATTCTGATTTGGAATTAGTAAAAAAACATATTCAATCAGTACCTTCCTACGAAAGTCATTACTCCAGAAAAAAGACAGGAGATAAAAGATACCTTCCAGACTTTTACACTTTGGCTTCACTTTACAGGGAATACGTAAATTGGCATTCATGAATGTAGGAACCAACAAGCCTTTTGTTACATGTGGCACGAAGCAGTAGCAGCTAGAGGAGCCAATCAAATAGCTTCGTGTTTATATAAGCACCTGAGTATTATTCCCGCCACCATAAAGGACATTACATTTTATTTCGATACATGTACCGGACAAAACAAAAACTGCTATTTGTCCGTAATGTTCATGTTTGCTTTACAAGAGTTTCCCCACATTGAAAAAATTCACCACAAATTTCTTATACCTGGACATACGCACATGGAATGTGATAATGATCATTCCATTATTGAAAAAAAGAAAAAAAATATCCGTGTCCGATTGAACATCCAAGAGACTGGGTAAATCTTGTTCGTGTATGCGGTGTAAAAAAACCGTTTGAAGTTGTTGAAATGTCCCGAAATAATTTCTTTAAATTTTCTGCACAACTTAAAACTTTTCTTCAACAAAGAAAAATAAATGAAGATGGTCAAAAAGTAATATGGAATGACATCAAATGGCTATGTTATTCCAATGAACCGGGCATTATAATATATAAAACATCACTTAACGAAGAAGAAGCATTTCAGAAACTGAATTTTTTGCGAAAAGGTAAAAGTTGGCCAAAAAAAATAAAAGTTCCTGAAACTTATAAAGGTGATGAATCAGATCAGTCAGAAGAAGATTAAAAAATATAAATATGTAATTAGACTTTCTTTGTTATTTTCTATATACTTTTCTATATATTTTTGTAAATCCGACGAAAAATGTTTTAATAAAATTTTGTGAAAAGAGGTATATGTACTTTTTTTTAAAAAAAACCTGTTCAAATATTTTTTTTTATATTTTGACAAAAATTGATATTACCCACAGAACAATTAAATCATTCCGTACTTTAGTAAAAAAAAGTATTAGGTTACACAATTATTATATTGAAATTAAATATTCAAAATCTTAAAAAAATTTAAACTTAATTATCTCAGAATCAATATTTTCTACTTATATCCTTTTTCACATACATGAGCCATATCTTAGAGACTACTTACGAAATATTACCCTACAAACTATATCTATGTAGAATATAACTACATTTGAAAATTGCTACTGGCAAAAATCGATACCAAACCGATCCCGAAAAATCTGCTAAGCACGTACCCTTCGAGCAATCGTCCAAATGGACTTTGTTTTGGTAAAGGGTGAAAAATAGTGTTCAGCATTCCCATTGGTCTGTTTCGTTTTTTTGGCATGTCAAATCGTTCGAAATTGTCAGAACTGTCATTTAATTTTTGATTTTCATTAATTTCTAGCTTATTTTTGCAGTTTATAAGTAAATTGTATTTTATTACTTTACTGATACAAATTTTAACAATGGTAAGAGTTTGTATAAGTTGTAAATAGAAATAAGAAAAGACATCAAGGGCAAGTAAGTAACAATTAGCGTCTCTACCATTTTTTTTTAAAGAAACGTAGTACCTACATTTTATGCAAAAGGCCGTTAAACATGAATTTAAATAAATGGTAAATTTAGTGAATTCAATTTAAAGAACTTGTATTACTTACCTAACTGGTGCAAGAGCGATCAATTAAATTTAAATAAGACAGGTTATGTAAATTAATTAATTTACCAGACCATACAGGTTAGGTAATCAGCTAAATTGCTCCAGGATAGACAGGTTAGGTAAATTAGTAAATTTTTGTTTATTTTTCTCTTTTTGTATAATTTTTTTGCGAAGCTACCCTCGAGGGCTCCAGGCCGCACAGGTTAGGTAAATTAGGTAAGTTTTATATTTTTCCCATTTTTATTTAATTTTTTTACAGATATGGGTTGGGTAAATTAGTTAAAATTTTTGTTTTTATTTTTCTTATTGCGATGGCCGCACTGGTTAGGTAAATTAATTAATTTTTTTTATAATAATAAAAACTTAACTAACTTACTTAACTTATGCGAGAGCAATCAGTTAAATTCAAATAGCGCAGATTAGGTAAGTTAGTTAAGTTTTTAATAAAAAAAAACTTAACCAAGTTACCTAATTTTTGCTAGAGCAATAAGTTAAAATTAAATTGCTCTAGGCCGCACAGGTTAGATAAAGTAGTTATTTTTTTATTTTTTAAATTTTCTGTCGTTTTTTTGCGAGGCACACCCCGACGGCTCTAGGTCGCACAGGTTAGGTGAATTAATTAATTTTTGTATTTAAAAAAACCTAAAATAATTTACCTAAAATGTCCCATCGGGAGACAACTCGACCTTATTGAAATACATATTATGTGCGAATTAATCACAATTCTTTAATCTCAATTAAGATAGATAACCGTTTACCTCTAAAATAACTTATTTTTAAATTAACAGTATTGTAAGGATAAAATTTGTTAAACGAGGTAGCTATCGTTTGAGATTATCGGAAAATTTGCCATTAGTACCTAATTTTGATAGCCGCTGAGTTTAGTTTCGCCAGTAGTATCGTTTGATTTTTGATATTTTACTATTTTTTTTTATTTTCGATATATTGTCCTTTCGATCTATTGTCTTTTCGATAAAAAGTTATTCGATAAAATATATTTTCGATCAAATGTTATTCGATCAAATGTATTTTTGATTAAATGCCATTCGATAAAATGTATTTTCGATCAAATGCTTTTCGATCAATTTTGTGCCACCCAAATAGTACAACTAACGTAAGAGTAAAAAAGTGTTGTTTAACTTTTAACTTGTAAGTTTATTGAACATTGAATATAGTGTTATCTCTTTTTAAGTCAACTTTTATTGTGACATCACTATACATGGTACAGATTTTAAAAAGATAAACTTTAAAAACTGCAGTATGTCGACAATTCAGATCACCTCCCAGGTAGATATCCGCAAATATTTAATTTAGTCATCATAATATAGGTACATACCTAACATAGACACAACTATTAAGTTTCTTGAACTAATTTAGGCCAGTGCAATATTTATATTTTATATCGTCTTGAAAAAACTGTAATGTAAGTTTATAAAATCCTCAGCGCTACATCAGTACCTCTGGCATTTTAAATAAGGCATTAGGGATAACCTACAAAATAAACAATTATTCATATAAAATTGTACTATGGTCAAGAAATTATCCTTGTTTAAGGGTTGATCTTTGAGTAAAGTTATATGTAGGTTAACTTGATAGATTAAAAAACAATAGTCATATAGTTTAATTAGCAAGTAGTTACTTTTAACTTTACTAAGAGGCCCTTTATAAAATATATATTAAAATTGTCATACTTTTTTGAAACTTCGTTTGTTTTTTGTTGGAAATAAACAAATTGCTCATTGCATAGTTGGGTATAAAACACATGTCTATTCTGTAGATCCTGGATCTGAACTTACAACCGTCATTTGGAAATAAACAAACATACCCTTAAAAATAGTATTTTTTTGCCTGAGACGTTTTTCTGTAACAATCGCTGAATTGACACACATACTTCCAATTAAAGTGGCAGTTTTACTTAAACTTAATTTTTAATAAATACAATACACAATTAGAATGTTGATATTTAGAATTTGACAGCTTGATTGGAAAGTTGAAACGATGAAGATAGAGAATGAGGTAGGTAGAGACGACATAAACACTATTTTGTGATACGACAAGTAGAGGCAATTTGAGTCATATTTTGATTAATTTTAAGATAATTTATATTTGGAAATTGACAGAATTAAAATGTTTTTATATCATTTAAATCACGCTATTTTAAAAAAATGGCATTTATTATCACCAAAACTGAGTATTTTGAGTTTGACATGTCGTAAAGGTGTAATGCAGACACTTTTAGTACCGTCATTGCATCTCTTTGTTCTGTATCTATGATTTGAAAGATTTGTATGCCCCGCCTTACTTTGTGACGTCACTGTGTGCGTAATTTTAGTGATTTTAGCAGGTCATTGTTCGTTTCACGGATCTGTTAACTTGTTGACATCTATTTTTAGCTAAAGGCTTTCAGGAAAATATCTCACTCGCTCAGGCTCACTCAAAAAAGTGAGCCAACGAGACGCGATTAGCCAGAGCGCAGTGGCATATCAAAAAATAGAGATTATCACGCAAGAAAACAATAAAATTATTAACATTGAATTTATATTTTTGTTATTTATTTTAAAATATGAAATGTAACTAAGGTTCACTCTTCGAGCATATATTACTAGAGCCATCGTCCAAATGGACTTTGTTTTGGTACAGGGGGGAAAATATAGTGTCCAGCATTCCCATTGGTCTGTTTCGTTTTGCTTGGAATGTCAAATCGTTCGAAATTGTCAGAACTGTCATTTGATTTTTG